AAATGGCTGGCAGATGGCAGGAACCAGTTTTCTCATTGTTAGAATGAAAATTTACAGATAAGCAAGGGTAGGAGGCTAGAATGACCTATCTGGTAATGGGTCAGAGTTAGAGACATTAGAATAAATTCAGGCTTACCTTAATATAGACAATATAGACACAGGTGATTATATACAGAAATATTTATAGATAGGTGCATAGATATGGACTAATATATAGACATATATTTTCTTACTATAGCAATTTCAAGGGCTGAAAATAAAGGAAACCCTGGGTAAAAAAGAACACACCTAGTACCTAGCTCTTGGTTTCTAATACCATTCACCCATAAAGGACCAAGGCTCCCTAGAGAAATGGTTGATTCTAGGATTTCGATATGGTAAGCCTGTGGCATCTTGTAATACCAGAAAGTAAAGAAGTGCTTAAAAAAAAAACCCCAAAAATCCCACACTAAGGTGAATATATTGAAAGGACATAGGGCAATTCAAAGAAATCGCAACAATCCCAAGCTTTTGTTTGAGTAACAAAATAAAAGTTATATTGGATTTAATCCAAAGTATAAAATAAATATGCATTCATATACATATAAATGATTAAATCTATAAAAATGGAGAAATATTTCCTGTGCAAAATAATTCTAAATAATGTACGTAGACATTCCATTCTCAGGAGCAGCTATCGCTCTCTTTTAACAGAGCATTGTGATTATTTTCTAGAACATAGTGTGGAAAGGAGGGAAAGAATAGATTTATAGTGGAGAAACCTGAAGAACTCTCAGTCAGTCATATTAATACTCTATATCCTTGATAAGCATCCAGGGCAAGTTACTAATTCTCTTGAGGCCTCTGAGGATAAGAAGAAATACTGTGATAGTCTTTTTCAATTGTTAAATATGTGCAAATGTCTTCCACAGGGTCTTCCCTATAGTAGGTACTGAACAGGACTATTAATAACTTAGAACTAATTTTTTTTAAATATTTATTTTATTTATACATGCACTGGGTACAGTCAGAAGCGCAGGAGGGTGAGAGAATTCACCAGAGCCAGAGCAGGGAGCAGAGCAGGCAGAAGGACCGAAGTACACTGCTGAGGGGAGCAGCGGGTGGCAGAAGAGGTCTGCGCACCATGTGGGACCCTCCTCTGGTGGCCGGGGAGCAGCCGGGGATCGAACCGGTGCCGCAGAGGCTGCGGGCCGCTTCACAACCCAGCGCTCAACTGCTGCGCCACCGGGGAGGCCCAGAACTAAATATTTGAAAAGTGCTCTAGATCTAATTTTTGTGGTGCAAAATTCTGGTTTTAGAAACTATGAATTGGGTTGTCAGTGATCTAGTAATACCTCTAACTACAGATTTTAACAGATTTGTAATATGGTGCTTTCTATTTAGATCTTGGTATCATTGTGGAACTATTATTGAAGAGACTTGTGAACATTATTATTTTGTTATGACTCTATCTGTTGTAAGCAAAACTTCCTATTATTTTGCCACCATATCTTAGACTTGAATTGTCTCAGTATTTCCTCAAAAAATACCATGTTAAAAAAAAAAAAAAAACACATGCTGGGCTATGAAGCCTTTAAGTTAGACTTCAGATCACTTTTAAATGTCCTGAGATTTCTGCTTACTGTTGCCCAATAAAAGCTGTAACAAAGAATCAGGATATCCTGCTGTTGTGTTCTTAGAATGAATCTCTTCTTTTGGCAATGCATTATTTTAATACTGATTCACTAACTTTGACAATGTACTACTTAATGTTCAGTGGAGGTGGTAGGTGACACTGATAACATTGCACTATGAAGTCAGTAACTGGAGTTACTAAAATGACATAAGAAACCAAAAGTTTAAATGTGACAACTGCTTTTATAGATATTTCCTTGGGAGTTTGATGCTATACTTTTCCAGTTTCTTAAAAAGAATTATAGCTTATTTGTGAATATGTAAAGATTTGTTTGTTTGTTTTACAACTAAAAAATAGGCAAACTGGATATTCTGAATTATTCCTTGATGGTAAAGAAATCATTGGTAGTTGCCTGTTTAAAAGCATCACACACTTGACTTTTGCCTCTAACTTCTTTTTGTCCTCTTTCTTGTGTTAATCACAAAGACTGGATACTGCTGTTGGGGAATCAGATCTTTTGCAATAACAGTCACAGATATATCCTTATCATAGGTTTCTTGAGAAGACGGATTGTTTTGTTTTGTTTTAAATTTGATTGGGAGTCAGAGACCGGAATCTCAGATCAGCTTGCCCAGGTTTCCTCTATAACAACTGATATGATATTTTTAAAACTACATGGAATGAAACTTCAATCTATACCAAATTAGGTGCTTAATTTTTTTTTAAAAGTCTAGCTGCTTCAGTAAATGTTGTTTCCCAACTATGTAACTCCTCAATTTCCATAACACTTTGAAATGGTATACCTTATTTACTTTGCTTCCCTTGCTAGCAAATTAACTGACTCTTTCCCAAGTTTACTGTTAATATATTTTATCTCATTATAGTCCCATTCCATTACTACCATGGGACATATCTACCGTGAGATAAGGTGAAGAGAAAGGTGTAGTTCGCAATTCAGTCACAAACTTCTCCCCAGGATCTTACGGACAGTAAGTTATCCTCCCATAATTGCAAGCTAAGAATATGTAGTGTTGAAGTTTTAAAATATTTAATCTTTCAACACCAAGGATTTTGCTTTTGATTAGTTTTAATTAGGCTTTCCTTTTTGGGGATTTTTAGGGAAAAACTGCTTTCTTTTAAAAAATATTTATTGAGTGTCTACTATGTACACCAAAGCACTATTCTAGGATTCTGAGTAAACTAACAGCAGTAAACAAAACAGAAAACTCCATGACCTTGTGTGCTTACATTCTAGTGGAGGGAAGACAGATGAGAAGAAAGATTAAGTAATTATGTTAGAATGTGTGTTTTGAAAACTGAAGCAAGGAAGAAAGGATGTTGGGGGAGGTGCAAAATCTTAAATGGACTGGTTAGAGTAGGCTGTGTTGAAGGTGACTTCTGAGACAAAAAATTGGAGAGAAGTGAGGGATCTGGTCTTGTAGTTATCTGGTGGAAAGATCCTTCCAGATAAAAAGAATAGTGCAAAGGCCCCAAAGCAAGAGAATACCCTCCAGTTATAGGAACTGGGAGCAGGCCAGTGTAGCTGGAACTAATTGCTTAGTAAAAATGAGGTCAATGAAGTTTTTTAGGTCACAGAAAGGACTCTGGCTGAGGAAATGAGGAGCTAATGGATTTAGCTTGCTCATAACTCTGCAGACAAACTTTTAAAGGTTTAAAGTAAATCCATGTCATATCACAGGTTTGTACAAACCTCGAGTTGTTTATACACTTAATTTACCACCTTTAACATGAAGTGGTAAAACCTTGCTTCTGGAATGGGGAAATGCCTTGCTTCTGGAACCAGGTAAAAACCTTGAAGAAAATGAAATACTCAGGCCAGGTAGTTTTAATTTAAATTAGTTTTAATTTACTAGCTGGTATCTTAATTATTAAACAGCATCCTTCTCTGTTTTCTTATTTACCAGCTGGAACAGTATCTTTTTTCAGGTTTCTTGTTGTCTCTAGTATCCTTGTTATCTCTAGTATTTTCCAATCTTATTTCCTATTCATGACTTAATCTGTCAATAACAGTTACACTTTTTTTTTGGGGTGTGTGTTGCACAGGTCAGAATTTTGCCAGCCCAGCAATGTGGAAATTATGTATCAGATGTAGATTAAAACAGCAACAAAAAACAGCTCGATTAGTTGAATTGAGTTAAATGAGGATTATGGGATTTTTTTTTCATTTTCATTTCTGTGTTAACTGTATAAATAAACCACTTTGTTTCTTTGGTAAGGACACAATAGAATAGAGGTAACTATCGCAGGTATAGAGGAAGGAACTATCAGCCTCAGTTTCCAAAATGTCTTTGTAGTCCTTGTAAGGAGCTGGAAGGGTTCTGTCTGTTAAGTCAGAAAACACATTTCAATTTCCTTGCAAACTGATTTTTAACATTCAACAGAGTAACTCGCTTTGACAAATGTGTTCAGGTAAACAAAGTACTTTGACTACAATTTGGGTGGCAATGACTGCCCTCAATTGTACAATCGTAACCCACCTAGTGGCAGGCTTAGAAGTCCCAGTCTACCTCGGGGACGTCCATGCTCCTGAGTTCAGCGTGCAGTCCCATTTAAGGTGGGATTGTTTACAATGCCACCTGCTGACATGTGCTCACCGTGATACATTAACACACTGTATCAAAAAGCCAGTAAAACCGTAGAGACAGCAGTTAAAAGCACTTTAATCTTTTTAGAGGTCTCTTACAAGAAAGAAGCTAAAGCCACTGCCGTGCAGATGCTCGCCGATCACCCAATCGCGCACAGTACTAACGCGGTCAAGCTGATATACCTGTGTCACGTCTGCAATTTGTCTCCCATCCCAGTAGAGAACTCGCTGAGGCTTGGGAAGGACAAAGGAAAGTTTCTGTCAAACTCGAGGAGAGAGGGGCTGCGTGGGGAGCAGTTCCAGACCACATTTAAGCCCCAGATCGCGCAGGAGTCGAGCCTCCCGCGAACTCTGCGGTGGGCGCGTGACCAAAGAAACGCGCGAGGGCAGCTCTTCTCCCGAACACCTGCCGCCCGGTCCCCGAGACGCGCTGGTCCGCGGCGCGCTCCGTCAACCGCTCGGCCTCCGGCGATCTCGCTCCACTCCAGGCCCGGCGGACCCCGGCGTGCGGCGGAACACAAACGGCCCCCGCGCGCGCGCGCGCATCCGCGCAAGGCTCAGCCCGCCGTTGGAGCCCCTCTCTCCTCAGCGGAGCCCCGAGTCGGCCCGGCCGCCGGGTCCCGGAGGCCTCGCCGTGGGAGCCAAGTAGGCCGCCGGGCACCCGCCTCCGAGCCTCCGCGCGCCGGCGCCATGGAGACGGTCACGAGACGCTGGCGCCGCCCGCAGCCGCCAATGGGAGCGCACGTCGCGGGGAGACGCGGACGTCGCTCTTCCAAGATGGCGGCGCGTCCGTCGCGAGCAGCCGGGCCGGGGGGAAGCCAGCGAAGCCGAGTAAAGCCGCCGCCCGGGAGAGGACTCAAGGAGCTGCTGCCGCCGTTGGCGGCGGCCCGGGCAGTTTTCGCTGCTGCGACGGCTGTTGCCATGCGGCGAGGCTAGGGAGGAGCTCACTTCCCCTGGGTGTAATAATGTTAACGGAGGTAAGCGGCGACGGCGGCCAGTGTTTACCTGTGACTAGGGGAAGGGGCCGGTGCCAGCCCATCGGAGAACATCATTTCTCGCGCCGGCGGGCCCTGCCCCCCGCCGCGGGCCCCGGGGCGCGAGGAGCCTCGGGGATCCTACAAGTGCCCCCCGGATAGGAGCTGTGCTGACTCAACAGAGTGCCACTACCTCCGGCTGCCTGTGCTTCTTTCGCAGTTGCTGCTTGCACGTCGCCCCTGGCACTGGTCTCCATCCTGCTGTCGCTACCTCCCAATTCGTGTCTTCTTGCTTGGTGTCCCCTTACACATTGCTCTGTGACAGCGTTGGTCTCTGCGTTGTTGCTGGTTCCTCTTCCCCTCGGGTTTGCCCGAGGTGCCCCTTCCCCGGTCCTTGGCCTCCAGGGCCCTCCACTTCCCAGCTCGGGCAGCATCTAGGGTTTGTCACTCGGCCCGACCACTTTGTCGCCCATCCCCTACTTTTAATAAGTGAAGTGGACTTTCTTTTTCCGCAGGCTCCGCTTGGATAGCCCAGTTAGATCATTCCCCCCTTCCTGCACCTCGTTACCTTTTGCTTAAGTCGTGGGAATCAGAAAGTTCAGTTCAGTATCCACTCTATTGATTTGCATAAGGGCCCCTTGGTACACTGTGTGGAACAGTTCTTTTTGACTTGAACCTGAAATGGAAGTAGGGCAACTAGGACTAGCCAATCAATTTCCCTTTTCTAGTGTCTAAAGTCCATTGCAAAAAGCAGACTTTTTGAAGTAGAATTTCCCTTTACTAGCAGTACATTAAGGGGAAGAGCTAAATTGATGTAACTAGATTCTTGAGCTAAGCTGATGCAGTGTTATATGCAGGTGTAGGTAGCATTGAAGATAAATTCTGGAACTTGTGAATTTGAGGACTCGAAGTTTTATGAGGATCCCCGTGACCGCTGTCAGGGACTAGTTTGGCATCTAACTTGTTCATCTTTGGCATGAGCTAGATAGGAAACTTTTTTTTCTTTTTTTTTTTTTTTTAAATAATGGGCAGTGGGAAGTAATCCTGATTGGACCAAAAAGAAAATAAAAAAGGTTTGTGGACGAGTGTTTTGTGAAGAAGTGATGATAATAAGCTTGCCTGACTTTGAGGGACTTCTTTCTTTGATATTTGCAGTCTGGCGTGATAATGTGTCTGGGAAATACTTACTGGTTGATATTTACTTATATACTTATGAAGTTTCTTTCCAGTATTTTGTGATTCACTTTATGTTTTTCATTCCTGGAGTTTTATCTCATTATTGGAGATTATCTTATATATAACATGCTTCCATTGTTAATATTAGGTTAAAAATAGTTATAAATACCATCGTTCTATTTTTACCTTCAATGTGATATTTTGGTGGGAATAATTAGCCTAATAAGTTTTTGGTGGTGTATCTATTGTACACTATTTTATGAGGTGATCTTTTGATTGAACTTGGTTTAGTTTATCTTGTTTTAAACATTTGTAATGCTTTCACATGAACTTTTTTAGTGTCTCGTAGTAAAATGATGGTGTCTTGATTTGGAAAGACTGAACTATATAAGTTTCTCTATTTTAATATAATTTCATGTTTCAGTGAACTATTTTAAACAAAAAGTCAATGATAGTAAGATATACTTGAGTGCTTTGTGTGTGTACTGTGCATAACTTCTGAGTGACAGAGCAGGGTACCACCTTTGACAGTCCTTGCCTAGTTCATTCTGTTAACTACTACACTGGATTTTCTCTCCATATTAAATGGAGAGATTTTATATACAGTTTTTAGTAATCATTTTACACATCAGAAAATTGAAGTCCAGAGACTTGTCCAAGGTCAAATAATCATTAGTGACAAAGATGAAATTAGAATCTCATCTCGCGATTCTCAGTTACAGAAACTCTGGCCATTTTGCTCTCAATAAATAGTTTTTAGCTCTTGATAGATTTTAAAATATCCCATTTCCTTGTTTGAATGTTGTTCACAAGATAAACTGAAAATTATTATCACTTGAGATTTTTTTTGCTTCGCCTTAGCTTTTATTTAAGCAAGGTTTAGAAATAGTCAAAATAAAGTTTTGAAATATTTTAGTTATGAAATTTTGCTCAATATTGGTTACTAAAATAGTTTTTTTTTTAATCTTCTGTTAGTGCTAACTTAAAGGATCAGGAGCTTTTAGGGGACGCGATTTAATGTATGTGAGATCTCAAAATGTGGAATGATCAGCTCTGTTTTGAAAAATTCACATATTCAACAGGCATATACTGGGCTCAGAAAGTGATGATTCTTACACTCTGTTTGATTCCCTTCCATCCAGTGTTGAGGTAGTTGTTAATAACCACCACTAGACAGATGAGAAGACTAATGTGGAGAGTTAAAATCATGTAACAACAAACGTTGAAGCCAAGAGTCACACTAGGTATACTCTTATTCTGCATTGCTCTTTTTGTGACTCAGTATGGAATGCATCATTAAGTTTTTTTGTAGTTGATAATCATCTGTATACTATTCTTAAGCTTTTTTTTTTTAAAACCAAGATAGAAATGCCAAGTACATAGGTACACAATATGTCAGTAATGGTAAACCTGTGAAACTGTTTAGCATTTTGTCAAAATAGACCTTTCACAAATGAGAAACTGTGCAAATGATCAATTAAAGACTATATTAAGTTATGCTAAAAGGGAAAATTACTCAGTAGAGCAAATTAATATGTACATTGAACTCTGAAACCTGTGAAATATGATAATTGGTATAAATTGAAAGCACTACCCTAATAAGTCTTTGTTTTTAAAGAAAATAGTTTTTAATTTAGTTGAAAAATAGTTCTTTTGAATTTTTTGGCTTTAATTTGTATTTTAATTCTAAATAAGATTGAATTACTTAGAAAACTTGCTAGGCTTATCTGTGTATTTGTGTCCTTTGCATTTTTTATATAGGAATGAAATATTTTTTCTTTTATGCCCATTTATCCCCCCGCCCCCTTCTCTATTTGCCTGGTAAGGACTTTTTAGTCTTTGGATTATTCTTACATTTGACAATAAAAATCTGTTGTGGTATACTTGAAGTTATTTGTTTAGTATTCAACCACTCGCCTTCCACCCCTTCTTTTCTTCATAAGCCTAAACTTTCATATATTAGCAATGGGATGTTTGCTTATCTGAGAATTTATTTTAGTTAATCTGAATTTTCACAACATTATTAATCTGAGATTTCACAACAAATATTTTACTATAGTGTAATATTTATTAGTGAATTTTCTTTAAGTATAGTTTCAAATTTGATGTTTCAAAAGCTGTTAGCATTATTCTTTTGGGAATGTACTACTATAAAGAACTAAAGCATAGAAGATGTGGGAAATATGCTGAATTTGTACCAGTGCTGAGGCATATTCAGGAGCTAGTTTTTGCATAAAAACCCAGTTATCAACTTGTGACACTTTTGCTTTTAAGAATTGTGACTAAAATTGTAGCTATTTAAACTTATTCATTGTTTGGGTTGTGTGCAAATGAGTAAAAATTACATAGAAATGACCTGTATTTGTTTTAAATTACTTCCATTCAGATTATTAATATTAATTCTTGATTTTGTGTTTAATAAATGTGATACAGATGTGAAAAGGCATGAACTCCAGTACTTTTAAGTTCAGGTTATCATTGTTAGTGAGTAAAATTTTGTAGTTCAAATAAATTTAGAGGATATTTGCCTAAAGGAAGTTAAATACATTTGTTGCCTGAAGGACTTCTCATAGCTTTTTATAGATGAATTTGCATCATACTTTAAAGTTTTTAACCATAGTGACTGTGATTTAATGCCAATTTGATTAGCTACTGGGTACCGAGATTGTGAGAGTGTATTGAATGAGGATCAGATTAGCATTTAACTCCTTAAAATAGAATGCCCTCCCCAGTGTGGATGGGCAGTCTCTCTCTCTCTCTCTCTGTACACAACACACACACACATACACACACACATTCTATTGTTTCTCTAGACAATCCTTACTAATGTAGAGACTTATAGAGTCTTGCATTTCACTTTGGGAAATCGTGAGATATGATGAGTTGTGCAACAGGAAAGGGTTCCTGGACTTTTACACATGCATGTACACTCTTGCATATAATAAGTGCTTAGTGAAATTGATGACTTGATTTTGTTGATTAATAGATTTAGAAATATTCTTGGCATGGGTTAATCCTTAAACAACATGAGTTATTTAATTTTTAATGATATTACAAAGGGTACTAGCCAGAGTAAGAGCCATAAGTCAAAGGATGTTAAGAGGTAGGATAGAGATTATAAGGGCAGTAGAAAGACATCATGGTCTGGAATGGGTGTGACTTGGCCACTCTACACACAACATTGTTCACTACCTTTTGACAAGCCAGCCATATTGAATATTGGCAGTCTTAAGAATTTTAAAGAACTTTTATTCTCCCTGCCCCCTCCTCCGTTGATTTCAAGTTTTTAGATTTTATAAATATTGTTAAATTATTTTAATTTTATTAATCCAGCACACACCCTTTTGATTAGCAGCTTTTAGCTGATAGAATTGCAAACAAAAATCTATGTGCTTTTTTAAGTTAAGTCCTATGACTAAATGTGTTTTCCTTTAAACATTTTGGGGTAATAAAATAGAGATTTTTAAATTTCATAACTATCTTGGAATAGTTAGATAGGAAGATATCACTATATATGACTAGTGTTCAGATGGATTGTTCCAAATTTTATTCATCATTTTCATATAGAAAGTAATAGAGTAGATCATTATATATATTTTGTTTATGATTAAAAGTGTTAACATTAATTGCTAAAAATCTGTAAAATTACTTTTTATTTTATTTGAGGGAATATGGAGTTAAATTTGGGAGTGGTACTAGGAAATCAGAAATTTATAGCTTAAAAGATATAAGGTATGGGCTTATTTATCATAAGGTCGCTATAAAGTGTATGGCTTTTCATTTCTTCGGGTAATGACTATCATCCGGTTCCTTTTGATTTTTGCGCA